TATAAAATATAAATAAACCAACACAACTTACAGCACAATTGTCACTGATCCATCTCACGAAATTCTCATCTGGCACTCCTACTTAAAATGTTATGTTTGTTCAACTTCTCAGAGAACCATTACACTCATTCTTTCTCTTTACCTTCTCTAAATGTGATACACGCAAGCATCTGACATTGCCAGTTCTTGTGGCACACATTTCATTCACTCTCCCTCTCCTAAACACAACCTACGAATATGCATTTCTGAAGAGGGGTCCCGACCCGAAACGTCAGCATTCCTGTTCTTCTGATGCTGCCTGGCCTGCTGTGTTCCTCGAGCTCCACACTTCGTTATCTCTGACTCTAGCATCTGCAGTTCTTGCTATCTCAGTGACTTTAGCAAGTGACTGTATGAAATAGTAGTGTGCAAAGAGAAAGCTGTTACTATAGGTAGTATTTCATTTCCACTGAGCAGTTTGTAAATCTGCTCTTTGCAGGTTCCGCAATAAAAAATATACAATATTGGCCAAGCACCAGCACTAAGAAAATAGACTTTGCAGTTCATATGGAAATGTTGTTTGATAGTGGTGCATTCCACTGTGGAAGGTGTGGAACCTTCAGGAATATCTGCAATAGAGGCCCTCATGTCTGATATTCATTCTGGCATGCTTCCTCTATGAATGCTGTAAATTTTTAACACTGAAACATTACACAGATTAGAAAGTGCTATTTCTTCTGACTTTGACAGGCCTTAAAATTCACAGAAAATAAGAAGGACTACACTGGAATTATTACTACTTCTACTATTTACTGCAAATGATTGTGGAAAAGAAAACAAGTTGTTGTATAGATTCCTGCCCTCTTCATGCAACACATGAAAAATCTAATCTACTCTCATCGTTGCATTATCAAGGTGGATATTAACAAAAATCATTTGAGTTAATTTTGGCAAATTAGGGTTATGAAATTCTCTCTGTGATCTCTAGTGTTACCTAAACGCAATTCTCTGTTGCTCACTTCATTCTGCATGCGCCATGGTTCTATGGCACTGCTTTTGCACTATTTCAAATCCACCATTGGTCTAAAGTATTTACCATGGTTAGGACTGTCAGCCTGACAAACAGTTTGAAAGTACTAATCCAGCAGGTCCAGGTCACTTGTAAATATCACAGTTGTTCCCACTGGCATTACAGTACAGACAAGATGGGCACAGCTAAGGGAAAAGGTTGATGCAAGCAACCACCCCTGTGGTAGAACATTGTTTGAGTGTCTGTGTTCGGTTGGTCTTCTCACTAAGATAAATATAGAAATTGAGTGTTCATCACAGAATTACAGAATGATAACTGCGTAGAAGAAGCCCATTTGCTCTATTGTGTCTGTATGAGTCGCATCGAGCATTTCACTTAATGCCATTCCCTGCCGCTGAATCATAGAATAAGCTGAGGAGTTTTATGTTGATGATTGTCAAAAGTGTCAGCAGTGGGCCTTCAGGTCAGACAGGGTTATATGTGGTTGATCGTATATGAAGTCAGCACTAGTCTTGAGTGGCTTCTGGAAGTTTGGCCCTAAATTGTAGAAGATGCTTCAATCTTCACTGAAGCCTGTTGCTTTTTCTTTGGAAACTTTGGAGCAGCTGTTTTATTGTAGACAGAAAGGCAATGAGTTAGTACCTTTAAGATTGTGGGCTAGTTTTCCAGGCTTCCGGATGTCAATGACTTTGAAATGAAACCAACCGTTGGAATTATCCCAATGTCAAGGTTTATAGAGTTGAGCTTGGTAAGCCATATCCATTCATTTTGGCCCTGGCACTTGAGAAATTCTGTGGACAAATTGGTTGCTGCATTTCCTACATTACAACAATGATTACAATGAAAAAATACCTCACAATCTGCAAAGTGTGAGGCATAGTGATTATGTAAGGTGCTACATAAAACCAACTTTTTAAAATGTGGCTTAAAATAGTTGACATGAACCTCTGCTAATTCAGCGAAATTAATTAAAGGCCCAGCCATATCCTCTTTACCATGGACATAGAAGTCCTTTACGTGTTCATCCCCCATCAGGATGGTCTCAGGGCTCACCTCTTCTTCCTGGAAAAAAGGCCTGAACCATCTCCATCCATCACCACGCTCTTCCATCTGGCTGAGCTCGTCCTCACTTTGAACAATTCTCCTTTAACTCCCCCCACTTTCTTCAGGTCAAAAGGGTGGCTGTGAGTACCCGCATGGGCCCACTTATGCCTGTCTCTTTGTGGGGCACATGGAACATTCCTTGTTCCTGTCCTACTCTAGCTCCCACCCACAACTCTTTCTCCAGTACATGGATGACATCATTGGTGCTGATTCCTTCTCTCGGCTGGAATTGGAAAATTTAATCAATTTCACTTCCAATTTCCACCCTGCACTCATCTTCACCTGGTCTATCTCCAACTCCCCCCCTCCCTTCCTCATCATCTCTGTTTCCATTTCTGGGGACAAGCTGGCCACCAACATCCACTACAAACCCACTGACTCCCATAGTTACCTTGACTATACATCCTTCTTGTAAAGACCCTATTTCATTCTGCCAGTTCCTTCATCTCCATTGCCTCTGTTCTGCTGATGACAACTTTGACAAGGGCCTCCCAAATGTCCACAGTTGACAGGGCCCTGAGCTGTGTCTGACCCATCTCCAGGACTTCAGTCCTCATCCTTCTCTTCCCTCCCACTACAGCGATAAGGTCCCCCTTATCCTCACCTAGCAGCCTACCAGCTTCCACATGCAAAGGATCATTAAAGCCACCATTTAAGCCACCTCCAGAAGGATGCCACCACCGGACACATATTCCCCTTCCCTCCCTTGCCAGTCTTCCGCAGGGACAGTTCCCTCTGGGACACATTAGTCCACTCTTACTCCATTCCCAACACCTCTACACACCCCCATGGCACAATCCCATACAATGATAGAAGGTATAAAACCAGCCTATTTTCTTCAACCCTCCTCACTTTTCCAAGACCCCTTCCAGGTGAAGCAGCAATTTACCTGGACTTCAATCAATCTAGTCTACTGTATTCACTGCTCACAATGTGGTCTCCTCTAAATTGGGAAGACTAAGTACAGATTGGATGACTGCTTTGCAGAACACTGATGTTCTGTCCGCAAAAATGACCCTCAGCTTCTGGTTGCCTGCCACTTCAACACACTATTATGTTCACTGGCCAACATCTCTGTCTCGGCTTGCTACAATGCTCCAGCGAAAGTCAGCACAGGCTAGCAGAACAATACCTCATTTTCAACTTGGGAACTCTGCAATCTCCTGGACTCAATATTAAGTTCAATAAATTTAGGGCCTGAGCATCTTCTCCCATGTCCTTACCCCATCCCTCACACAGCAGGCCTTGTCATCACATGGGCTGCGACCACAAGCAACCCATTGTCAGCCACTAACAGTCCTCATTAGCATCTATTAATTCTCCCAGGCTAACCTTTACCCCTTCCTTCGTCTGCCCAACTGTTTTCACTCATTTTGGGCTCTATTTTCACCCATAATTTACTCCTGAAACAGAAATCCAAAAGAAGTTGCTGGAAAAGCTCAGCAGATCTGGCAGCATCTGTGAAGAAAAATCAGTTAACATTTCGGGTCTAGTGACCCTTCCTCAGAACTGATGATAACTAGGAAAATGTCAGTTTATATGCAGAAGATAGTGTGGGGGGAAGGGGTAAGGAATAAACAACAGGTGGGGATAGAGCCCAAAGAGAGAGAAGAACAGTTGGACAGACAAAGGAGTTGATAATGATCTGGCCAGGAGGGTGAATAGCTGTTAATGGAGACTGCTAGTGAATAACAATAGGTAGTGTGCAATGGCAGACTACGTGATAACAAGGCCTGGTGTGTGGGATAGGGGGCTAGGAAATGGGACAGTTCAGGCCCTAAAATTATAGAACTCGATATTGAGTCCAGAGAGCTGCAGGGTCCCCAAGCTGAAAATGAGGTGTTGTTCTCCCAGCTTACACTGAGCTTCGCTGGAACAGTGCAGCAAGCCTGAACCAGAGATGTTGGCCAGGGAACAGGGTGGTGTTTTAAAGTGGCAGGCAAATAAAAGTTCAGGGTCTTTTCTATGGGCAGAATTGTTTACTCCGACCCAACTCTCCCCATCCCATCTTCTGCATAAATACCACCCATTGCCTCGCTATATACGTTCTGAAGACGGGTCACTGAACCCAAAACATTAACTCTGTTTTCTCTTCACAGATGCTGCCAGACATGCTGAGTGTTTCCAGCAATTTCCAATTTTGTTTATAAATTCAACTTGACTGCACACATGAGGTTCATGAAACAGTCTGAGTGGTTCACCAAGTTTTTCTACAGTCTGCTACTCTCCAATCAGGATTAATAGCATTGAGGAAAAATGGGCAATCTGGTGCTCAATTTTTAATGTTTTCTTGCCCATCACATTCAAATTCACTGTGGAGCAATTTCTTGTTTTCTACCTTCAATTTGTACTCTCACAAATAAATAATGTTTAATAGTATGCATATTATTAATTATATATATTTTTAAAATTACATGTTAGCAAAAACAAAATCCAAATTATAACAATTCATCTCTGCTATAGAATAAAATTCTCTTCCAACTTCATCCCCTTATATGAACAAAGACTGTTTGATAGATAGAGTAAGAAGAGGTCATGCAATAATCCAAACATTTAATATCAGAAACAGAATTTGATTATTGTAAAGTTCGGATATAAATAATTTGCAATAAAATGAAATATGACAAAATAGGTTTTGCCATACTCAAAGAATAAAAACTGAAAGAGGATTTATTGTTTCTACAAATTTCAAATATTCTGCTTTAAAATAGTCAGCATGAACAGTGACAAAAAATTATCTGATTGAATCATTGTTAGAAAATGGGCATGCTACTCACTGCTAGTTTGATATATAACATCACCTCCAAAGTGGAAATTGAGCTACCTATTACAACCTATTCAGATTGCTCCAGGTTAATAATACACAATTGAAGAAAATATGAGTTACCTTTCTCTTCATAGGCCGTGCCCATGTTAGCATGTGCTTCAGCCACTTTCTGATGCCCCGCTGGGGTGAGCATTTCAGCAGTAGTGAGGCATGATTGGAAGAAATGATCAGAAAGCAGCTTGTCCCCAACTGTTTTAAAGTAACATGCCAGTGAAAGTTGGTTATTATAGACTTCCTCAAACTTCCCTAAAGAAATAAGGGAAAGTTTCTTTTTAGAAATGTCTATGACAAATGTGTAAGAAATACATTTTCATACAAACTATGTTGCAATGTCAGGACACTTAGATACAAGAACTATTTTATTTTTGAGTCCTCAGTATAAATAGAATGTTTGATTTTGCAGGGAATGGCAACCTCACAGATTGCCATCTTAGCGCTTCTTTTTTGCACAACTAGGGAGCTCCATATTTCTTAATGGAGATTCTGCACAAAGCTCCCTTAGAAATGCAGAGCTGTACTTCCATTCTGACAGTTGTTTCATAATGCAGAATGGTCAGAGGAAGGCAAAACTGTCACCTTCTCACAGTAGGAAATTACTGTATTGTAAAAGTTAAATGTCCTGATAGCCACTTTGACCGCTGCTGTTAAACCAAAAATACATCAGATCGGTGTGATGTTAGAGTGTAGGTCAGGACAGGCCGAGGGAAGCGTGTTTATTTTGGGCTTGGAGAGTGTGGTCAGGGCAAGTCTGGTTGGGTAGGAGTTTAGGTGGGTGGATTGGGTGGCACTGGGGTCAGGTTGGGTACACAGTGAGAGTGGCTGGTTACTAGGGAGAGGGTCAGGTTAGATCTGGTGGGGAATGCAAGGTGTTTGGGTTGGGTCTCAAGGATTTGGGTGGGGTCTGGCGGAAGTGGAGGGGTAGGGAGGTGAGATATATTGTGGTGTGAGAGTGAACTATGTGGTCAGTTTAATAGCTAGTTACTCAGGCGTATGTATGTAATTAATCATCTAATTTTTCCTGGGTAACTAATTTACTGAATTTCATCAGGACCATCTGAAGTCACTTATTTAACTAGTAATTTTTGGAGGGATCCTAGCACAGAGGAATTGTCTAGCAGAAAGTCAATTTCTCAGGCAATTCCTTTGGAGTGTGCCACAGTGCGGATTCTGCAGGGTCTCCATTTGCAACTTCCATCTATGCTGGCATAATGACTGGCCAGAGGAAAATCTGTCCCAAAACGACTAACACATTTCAATGCTTCAATCTATTATGTTAAAAAAGTGCAGTACAAATAACATTAATTATTGTTTTACTTACATTCAACTTTTCAAATATAAATTAAATTTGCTCTGACTGATATAGTTGAATTGTAATCTTTAGTTTACTTCGTAATAATCAAATCACATCCTGGTCAATACACACTAACTTAAATGCAAAAAAAACCACTCATTCTAAGATTGTTTCTCATTATAGCATGTATAGCTACATGAAATAACATCATTATATCAATAACTACAGCTTTAATATTTTCTTTCTTAAGAAGATATCTATACATACGTTTAGACAACTACTGCCACACATCAGATGCTATTCATCATATATAATCTTCAAGATGAATATCTCATTGATATGAAATAGAGAAGATTGCTAAGCTTTTGGCTTCTTTAGGTATTCATTCATGTTATTAATGATACAGAATGGAAATAATGTAAATGGTAGGTAAAATGCCCATGTCTCAAAAGCATACTTAGTTACCCTGCAATATACCACACTTACAAGCTTTGTTAAGTGAAGCTTTTTATGTGCAAGTTTTCAGAAATGGTATAAATTGTTAGCTGAAGCCATTTTCATTCCCCTTCAGATAAGCATTGCTGCTGTCGATACCTGTGACTTTTTCATTTACCTGCTCTTTGAGCTGCCTCCGCCCTGATCAGAAAATACTGAAGATGATCCAGCTTATCATGTTGCTTGTCCAGAGGTTCCTCCATCCATATGTCTGACCCAGGTCCTGCAGCCTCCCTTACAGCATTCCAGTTCAGGATCAGAGTAGTGAGTTCTGAAAAGGACTTATGATAACCCTGTCGAAGCATGTCTAAACAGATGTTGTGTTTGTGCGAATTCCTGTAACTGGGATTAAAAGAAATGAAAAACGTATTGAACACTTTGTTTTTTTTGCTTTGAATGCATTAATCAATTATACTTTTGTAATCAATACAAAAAAATTCTAATTTGCATCAGGCTGTTATTATATTCCAATGGCTGGTTTGACATTGATAGGTGTATATTACAATGCACTTTTGTAAGTAACAATTATCTAGAGGGTTGCATGGTGCCTAGTCTTCGGATAAACTCAGCCAGGAGACAACACGGTACACAGTAGATTTCCAGCAACAAGCCAGAAGAGAGTGTAATTGGCCACTATTTCAAAGAAGAAATTTTCTGTATCAGTATCACAAACAAAGATTAATGTGCCACAATGTATTAATCAGATACATATTGGACGTGGGAGCTAACACAAACAAACTAGCTTTTCTCTTATCATTAATAGTAAACTATTTTGATTATAGTACAGTGCATTACTTTTACTAAAGCTATTTCATTTTTACTGATTTAATTCTAAGATATCTATTGTGTACTGCTGATATTTGGCACATTTCGTGGAAACTTTCCATCTCGCATGTATCAGGACATTTGGCAAGAATTGAAGGGGAAAACCAAATTCCTGCTGCATTAGAAAAGAATGCTGATTGGTTTGTTATTGCAAATGAACTCTGGTTGGTAGAAGTATTGCCATGGAGGAAGCACTCATTAACACTGATTGATAACAGCTAGGCTTAGTTTATGTTTTAAACTAGGCAGATTGACTCTGACAAGTCAGGGCATTGCCCTGAGAAATGAACTAGCAAATAGTTGGCAAAGATGTTGAAACAGGTACAATGAGTATATATGTTCTTTTTGTTTGCACTTACACTAATAGGATGCTGTAATCAAGCCCATAAATGTTTTGCCATTCACACGAATGAGTAACATGGTCAACTTTCTCTAGAAGTAATATGGCTGCTCCAAGGTTCCACGCACAGTGATTCTGGAGGTTGTTACCATACATAGCCGGAGTCACCAGAAAAAGAATTAGAGGAAATGCTGAACATTGTATATGAATTTCAGTGCCAATGTGATGCCAGATATGGAGGCCATATATTGCAAAGACTAATGGATCATATCAAACAGTGTTCACAACAGGCAAAGTATTGACCATACTCAACCAGTTCACATTTGCAAAATGTGCAAGAGTGTCTAACAACTAGACATTTCCTTGATAATATTGACTGCGAGGAATTGCATCGTCAATATGCTCGCAATATGGTGCACATGCAGGTACTGGAGGCTACATATATTAATACACAGTGCATTGAAAGAACACATACTGCGAGATGGAGATAGCAATAACTGCAGATGCTGGAAGTCAGAGTCAATACAGTGTGGAGCTGGAGGAACAGGAATGATGAAGGGTCCCAACCCAAAATGTTGGCTTTCCTGTTCCTCTGATGCTGCCTGACCTGCTATGTTCCTCCAGCTCCGCACTGTATTGACTGATGTACACACACTGTGCCTGTTCCAACTCAACAAAATAGGTGACAGCCATTTGCTGGTTCATTTTTCAGGTAAATGCCATGACCAATCAGAGTCAATTAGCCTAGTCTAAAATTTAAACAAAGTTTGGCTATTATCTACTAATCAGCATTAATTTTCCATGGTAATGCCTCTACCAATCAGAGTCCATTTACCAATGAATCAACAGTTTCCTCTCATGCAATATAAATATTGGTATTCTCCTTGAATTTGTATTTTTGTAAATTCTCTCAATGAGTGCAAGATGAAATGCTTAAATTAAATAAAATCTGTCTTTTTTCAGGAATACTTAAGTTCCATACTGTCAAATGAATATATTCATTGTTTCTTATCTATATTAAAATGTCAGTATGGATCATATACTGCTTTGAAAGTTTCTATAGATATTTCTACATTTAGCTGTAATGTGTCCCTGTGCTACTTTTGGATACTCTTACGGATATTTCAATAATGGTCTAGATTTTATGATCTGTAGAGAATCCAGAATGCTTGCTGCTGACTTCAACGAAAAATACCCTGACAGATCGAGCAATCTATGCGGAAAGAAAACTCTTATGGTCTCAATGTACGACTAATTATTATGTAGTTTAATCAGGATTTCCAATGTAAACCTGTAGTGATGTCACTAAGCTGGCCAAGCAGCTAATCACTTTAAAGAATTTACATAGAAAACCAACCGGAAAGTGAAAAGCACTATTATTCTTTTTTTTTTCAGATTTTATAAACATCTTGATACATTGGGGGATAAAATATAAGATGAAATGTTATGAAAAAACATATTTGAAACATTTAAATAAATACATTCAAAACTAGTAATCAATTATAATGGAATCATTTAACAGCATGCTAAAACTGTAAGATTTCTTTTTAGTCTTATATTTGATGTTCAACATCGATTGTTACTTAGAACATGGTTAAAAACCCAGTTACATCTCAACGAAGAAGGCTCAACTTCTTACAGAGTTTCTAATGAAAATGTGAAGTATAAGGGGGTTGTTCTCACCAGATCAATTGTGGTATTATCGCTAGTCTACTAATCTAGAGACCCAAGTAATGTTCTGGGGAACCTAGGTTCAAATTCTGCCATGGAAGATGGCGGAATTTGAGTTCAATAAAACTCTGGAGTTAAAAGTTAACTATGACCATGAAAGAATTGCCAATTGTTGGGAGAAAAACTAATAGGAAAGGTTTGGAGCGATATGGGCCAGGAGTGACAGGTGGGACTAGTTTAGTTTGGGATAATGTTCTGCATGGGCTGGTTGGATCAAAGGCCGTGTTTCCATGCTATATGAACCTATGACTAACGTCCTTTAGGGAAGGAAATCATCTGCCTTCCTTACCTGGTCTGACCTACATGTGACTCCAAACACACAATACATGGGTGACTGTTACCCAACCCCTGTGGGCCAGATAGCGACGGGAAATAAATTCCGACCCAGCCAGTAATGCCCACATCCCACGAATGAATTATTTTTTGAAAAATATTATAGGTCATGGAATAAAAGAGTAGCAATGCATATAAAAAATGGCTGAGGAATAGGAAACAAAGAATAATCATTAATTTCAAGCTGAAAGAGGTTTGCAGCAAAGTTTTCTAAGAGTTTGGGATTGGGAACCTTGCTTTCCCTCTATCTAATGTCTAGATCTTGATGTGCAAGGGACAGTTTGCATATGACACAAAATTTGGCAGAATTTTAAACTGTAAGAATAGTACAGAACTTCTAAAGGACATTATTAGAGCAGATAGGCAGCAGATGAAATTTAATATGGAGAAATGTAACATGATATGCTTTGGTACAAAACATAACATAGATGGTACTATCCTAAAGGGTGTGCAGGATTAGAGAGCTGGTGTATATGTACTTATAGATGGTGAGACAGGAAGGGAGAGCTGTTAATAAAGCATACAGTATATTCTAGATTTTATAATTGGAAGCACAGAATAGAAAAGGCGGAAGGTTATGATGAACTTATATAAGTCAATAATTAGACCTCTGTTGGAGTACTGTGTACAGTTCTGGGTGCCACACATAAAAAAAAAAGACGTGAATACATTGGAGAAATTGCAGAAGAGGTTTCTGGGAATGATTCAAGCAATAAGTCACTTTAGTTATGAGGAAAGTTTGCAGAAGTTGGGGACATTTTCCTTGAAGAAAATGCTAAGAAGAGAGTTGATAAAAATTTTCAGAATGGCAAGGTGTCTGCATAAACTAAATGGGGAAAACTATTCCTGCCTATAAATGTGCTTTGCAAAAGATGCAACTGCAAGGTGAGAAAAAATATTTTCACACAGTGAGTAGTTAAGATAATTAGTTAATGCACTGCCCGGAAGTGTGGTGGAGGCAGGTTCAATTGAGGTACTCAAGACTGCATTGAATGATTATTTAAAGAGAAATAATGTGCAGGCAGGAACTTGGCATTAAGTTAAAATTCTCTGACAGCCAAGGAAGATACGATGATCCAAATGCACAATCACAATTCTGTGATCTGCTGGCAAAGTCGTAAGTTTGTATACTTTATCCCTTCCTCTGCCATACTCCAATTATCATTTCTTTTATTGATACCTGCTTTCTTGCTTTGTCCTATCTCTTTAATTTATCACATTTTTCCTCACTCAATCATGTAGTCCCCACCATTTAGTTTATAGCAGCCTTAGCCATTAATTACGTGACTTCCCAGAACTGGTCCCAGCGTGGTTTAAGCAATGATTGTCCTAGTGGTACGCCATTCACTTTCCCCATTACATATGCCAGTAACCCTTGAATTGAAACCCATTTCTCACACACAAATCTTTCAGCCACGCATTCAAGTCTCTGATTTTGCTTGTCCTATGCCAATTTGTGTGTGGCTCAAATCATTACCCAGGGAAGATGACCTTTGAAATTCTGCTTTTTAGTATATTCCACAGTGTAGGGATTCTTTATATCTATGTAAGTTACTCATAATCCCAAGTAGAAACTTTATCCTACTCCTAACTATGTCATGTCTACCGATATAGATACAACTACTAGATCCATCCTTCCCACTTTACACTCCTGTTCAATCTACAGCATATGTCCTGAACCTTGACACCAGAATGTTGCTCTTGATTGAACAGAACTATGTCTATCTGTCTGACTATACTGTTCTGTACTGCCACCGCACTCTTGTTAACTCCCCTCACTTGAATGGCTTCCCGTTCCATGGTGCCAGAGTTAATTCAGTCATCCACCCACTTTCATCTACACAGATTGCAAGAAGCAATTGCAAAGGGCTGAGGTGCCTTCTCTGCTTATACCTCCATGATTCCCTAACTGACTCAATCTTCTGTCCCCAGGTATTGAGCAAATTGGAAGAATCTGTTCTACGGGGTGTGACCACTTTTTGGAACAAATTACCCAAATAAATTTTTCCTTCTTGATTTGTTGCAGTTTCTGTAACTCATTAAACTGATGGACTTTGAGCTCAACTTTCTTGAGCTGCAGATCCTTACATCAGATTATCTGCCATGGTACACA